CAAATAACAAATACTAAGTGCCAGGGGCGCACGCAGGAATATATTTTTGCGGGGAAATGGTTTATACTTCTAAATATACATCATCAGCAAATACTGAAAATTCGCTCTTTAAAATACATTTATGAAAGTTTTATTTACAGTATGAAATAAATAAATAAACTTTTTAAAGTATCATCAATTGCATTTCATTTACATAAAATTTACAAAGAACTCAGACATTTTTAACCGGCTTCAAAAAAGGGGAGGTTATCAATTCTTCGGAGTATTTTTACTTCTTTTATTTATTCCACCGCATAACTTTGCACCGCGTGAACCGATTCCAATAATTATTTTTTGTACCGGAAAGATGGTACCTTAAGGGTAGTCTCGTAATTTTTGGTTTAGATCCGATCATTAATCATGAAAAAATTAACGGTTAAAGATGCACTCAACTTTCAAAAGTAATACAAAATTTTACAAAAGAATTTTAATATAAATAAATTAAATAATTTCACGAAATTTTTACGCTCTTTTATTAATTTTCGTCGATTTCTGGTTTCTTATTTTTTAATAATTCAAATAACGAAAATTTAACTGAACTTGTATTTTCATCATGTAGCTCATTTTGGTGGAACGAATTCGAAGTTAGCAAATTAAATCTTCGAATGCTTATTAAGTACATATCAGTGGTGAACTTTTTTAGGCTGTAAAGTGTAAAAAGCAACAGTAAGTGAGTATGCATTGCATATTTTTAGGACAATGTTTTCATTCGCAGTTAAACTTTAAAGAGCTCTCAAGAAAAAAAGAAAAATTCTTACAAAATGACGCATAACAAATGGAAAAGAAAATTTTTTCTTTCAAAATTTCTTATATCATAATAATAGCCCCAAAACCCACCCCTTGTGTGCGCTACGTGACAAATTTGATATGTAAAAGTAAACAGACATTGTTTAATTTTGCACACACTAGGAGAGGAAACTGGTTACCTCTCTTTATATGCATAAATTTAAACGAAAATTTTTTGGAGGAAATTTTAAACATTTTATGTGTAAACTGTGAAATTGTGAACAATAAATGTTTAAAACTCAAAAAACAAATTTGAAATTTGTTCTACGCCACACATATGATAAGTAAATGTAAGCAAGCAGTGTTTAAATTTGCATTCATTAAGAGAGGAAACTGGTTACCTATCTTAATATGCGCAAATTTAAACAAAATTTTTTTAGAGTGTACATTTCCGACTTTACTTTTTTTTGGACCACCCTAATGTACATATGTATATTTGAAAAGTGAAACATTCAATGCGCTTTGAAATAAATTTCCTTCACCCCTTGTCGAACGTGGTTTCAATTCGAATAACTAGGAAACTCGAAAGTAATTTTATATGGTTACGAGGCATTTACGCGTTTTGATGAATTGCCCTATAAACTCCAAAAATTAAATAAAAATAAAATAAATTAAAATAAACTACGTTTCGTATTGAAGAGTTTAATGTTTACGAGCGAGGCGAACACCAAATCGACGCTAAAGTTGTACGTATATAGACGGGCCTTTATACTCATAAAAAGTTACCCAAAGTAACACTTCAACTTTGTAATCACATTCACTTCGAAACTTCGACCCGCGGGAGTGGTTGCGCCGGTGGCACACGTACTCCGTTTACTTGGGAATCCCCTTTGATTAGGGTAAAAAACGAACTAAACATGGCTTTAATTAACTCGCCTTCAGTGCCCCCTACGATTCTTAAAAATTGTAAATACATATATAACTTTTTAATTTTTTTATAATTTCTTTTCTTTATAGTTTTTATTTTTATTTTTTATGTGGCGCGTGCCCTTTGGTTATCGCCTATGTAGCCTGTGCTTAAATCCGGCCCTGTATGTACCACTTTGAAAATATACGCCCGTAGCTATTTGGATTTAGAGTTAACATTCCTGTAGATGCCCCGACACTCAATTTTTCTTTCTTTCTTATAATGTAGCCCTTTCATAATTTCTATATTCTTTTAAAGAAACATTACTCACCTGACAGGTGTCACGATTTTTTTCAAAATCTTTAGCACATATCTGTGACTCCAACAGTCCATCTGGTGTACCAGTATCTGAAGGTAAAGTTTGATTACATTGTAACAGCGGCACAATGGACAACTCCAATTCGGTTAACACATTTGTTGGAGCATGCGCAAAAGCGGTCGAACCGTAACCCATTGCATGAAGTCTATCGTACGGAATGTCATCGCTGACCCATAAACGTATCGGCCGCACAAAGTTCGTGTAGCTGCAGATATAAAATTTTAACATATTTAACATTTCATAGTTACATACATACATATGTACATATGTTTGTAGCTTATGGACTTATGTACATATGCATATTAGAGAGTGCATCACTCCATAGAAAAATTATACTATTTTTTTAAATTTATTATACTTTAGCACCCGAATTCATAAAAAATTAAGAAGAGTTTAACTGCTTCCATCATCTGAAGTGATTTTTCGAAAAAATATGTTTTAAAACTAAATTTCTTTACAAAATACTAGATTTTTAGGTATTTTCAAATCGGTCGAACTCATCTAAATCGTAGTTTTTTCCGAACTAATCGATTGTTTTGACGTAGAATACGTCTTACCTTAAGGTATGGGGGCTATGTTCAAATGTTGTAGTTGTAATTTTTAGAGCTTCACAAAAAGGCTTATTGCACGAGAACTAATAAAGCGATTTCAAAGAAAAGTGTGGCGCGATTTTGTAATCGATTTAGTTAACGATTTTGTTATCGATATTTTTATCGATTTTGTTATCGATTTTATTATCGCTTTTGTTATCGATATTTTTTTCTTAGTTTGTGCTTTCGTTTTTGACTTGGATATGCTCTTAACCATACCACGTATTCTACGTTTAAATTTAGCGGGTGTATCTCCGATACAGCCTGCAGACCAAGACGAAGGCGCTGGACTGTTCCTTTTTTTATTATAAAGAAATTTAATATAGAACATATTTTTTCCGAAAAACAAAAGGTATGATCGAAACTAAATGATGCTCTCTTAGTTCGTACTGAAATGAGATTAAAACTATCCATGTAAATTACAAAAATCTATGGAACATTCCCAAACAGAATAAAATGCGATTATTACTTTCATGAAAATTTCGAAGAGAACAAAATGGGAACAAAAGCCTTCACACGTTTCGGCAAAAAGCGGAACGGGAACAAAAGTCTAAGGAACTTTCTCTCGAAGAAAAATTTGTGAATTTAAGTCTCAGGAAATTTCTGATAGAGAACGAAACGGGAACCAATCTTCTCTGAACTATTCGCATAGAAAGGGAACGAAAACAAAATTTTTCTCAAAGCGTTCCATTAGTTTGAAACATTTGAAAATTAAAATAAATGAAAAAATAACTGTAACATAATTTTGCAAATAAAATCAACGAAAGACTTAAGACACGAACTTTTCTTGCACATAAAATGAAAAACTGTTTCATAAATGGACAGTTTACTCTAATGATAAACAATCAGGAAGTTAAAATGATCCAGCTTTCCTCTGGCTTAAAATAAACAATCGTGTTTCTCACGGAAACGATTTTTCAACCCAACACTCAGATGCCTCTCTCGTTCTTAACGTTAAGTTCCCAAAACCTTTGTTCTCTAGCAGAACGTTCCTCCCTAGACTTTTGTTTTTATTTCATCCTCCTTCAAAACGTTCTCGATACTTTCCTACTCATTTTGCTCCCATTGGAAACGTTTCCGAAAGTTTCGTTCTCATTATGTTCTTCTTGAGAACGTTCCTGAGAGATTTGTTCGTTTTTTTTTTCTGCTCGTTCAAATTGTTCTCATTACTTTTGTTCCCATAAAGCTCTTTTGTGGGAACGTTCTTGACATTACATTTTGTTCTCGTGCAGAACAACACCAAAACTGGAACGCGTTCTTGGTACCTGATAAAAATCAATGCAATAAAAATAATAAGATTTTCGGAAGGAATTTCCAAATCGGTCCAGCTTACTTAAGTTTTGGCGGAAGTATGAAAATATAATAAAGCTTAGACTTAGTTTCAGTAGAGCAGGTGATTTGATTACTATTTTTTTTTCAAATTATTTGGTATCGAAAATGTAGGTGTAATGACTTACATCACTGACTGTGCCAAACGGATCAACGCTATGTCATGATAGTTATATGAAGAGTTGTACCAAGGATGCGCTTGTATTTCAGCAACAGGACGCACTTGAAAAATATCATCCAATTCAATGTTTTTCAAATTGATGTCACCCACTTTGACCACTTCGGGAGCTTGACTTGCAAGTAAGTAATAAATAATGCATAATTACACACATGCATATTTTAGTCTACATATTAAATATTAAATCATATGTAATTACTAATTATAATTGTAAACTCTCACCCGCTGTGATAGCAACAGTGCGCAACAGTTAAAACAAAAACTTCATTAATTAAACTGCCGCCACATTTGTAATCGTAGTTGTCGGTGTAAGTGCGAAAACCCAGCGCAGCCTGAAATTAATTGAATTTGATACATTTATATGTATGTATGTATGTATAATTACTATAATTAATATAAGACAAAAGATGAGTTAATTAATGAATAATAAATAATTGCGAGGGCATAAATCTATTTATGTCTGTAGGTAGTAACTAAATTCTTATCGATAATTATGTTCTTGAAATTCATACATATGTGTTTCAATGACCTCAAATCACTTCATAATGCAAAATGCGCTTAATTAGCGCTAGAAGTCCAAAAACTGGTTTTGTTCGGCTGATTGCTGCATTTAGAATACAGTGAAAGCTCGATATACATACATATCTATAGCTTCGTTGTATTTATAGAATATCAACAGCTGTATTGAACGAAAAATGCATAATTGTAAAAAAAATCGTTATAACAATACTTATGCTTGATTTCCACCAGACATTAAAGGTCATTATGTAGAAACAAAGTCCATAAACCCAATTCTAAATTTTTTTTTGTCTTTTCATTGTCTAGTGGCAATTTAGCATTAGTTTAGTTTTGATTTTCAGATCCAACAAAACTCTAATGGACAGCAGGTGTATACATAATTTGCTAAACAGAGGGTTTTAAGTCTAACCCTGCTTATATAAAAGCTTTTGTTGTCGAAACTTTATCACCAAAAAAAAAATTTGTTATACTGAATTTCGCCTTTTATCAAACTTCATTTTACCGAGGTCTTACTGTACATTAAATCGAACACTTATCATAATCACATGATTGCTTACCATATGCGGATACTGTCCTGGCGCTACAATCGATCGTCCATTGAAATCATCATTGACTTCATCATTCTCGAGCGCCTCATCATAACGCGCGCCATCAACTTTCCGATCGACATCGCTATAGATAGCGGCGAAACGTTTATAAAGACCAGGTGGCGGTCGTTTAGGGCCAAACTTATTACCCTTGCCGCGACAATGACCATAGGCATGACCCTTGCCATGTCCATTACCAGGACCGTTTGGGTTCTCACAGTCTAACGCCGATTCAACGTTGCCCGACTCCGTGGCTAAGACAAAGCCCTGTAAACCCTTATTAGCACCGTTCTTATTGCCATTGCCATTACTGTTACCATTGCCGCGTCCATTGCCATTTCCATGCCCTTTGCCTTTATTATTGCTGGAATTGGACAAAAAATCTGGTTGCAGGCCATAGTCGCCGGGTTGTGGCGATTGAATGCCTCCAAGCGACTCCGTGGCTAAGACAAAGCCTTGTAAACCCTTATTACCACCGTTCTTATTGCCATTGCCATTACTGTTACCATTACCGCGTCCATTACCATTACCATTTCCATTATTTCCATGCCCTTTGCCTTTATTATTGCTGGAAGTGGACAAAAAATCTGGTTGCAAGTCATAGTCGCCTGGTGGTGGCGATTGAATGCCTCCATGCGGATTGTGGCCTTGGCCGTGTACTTTTCGGGTGTTTCGCGAAGCAGACGCGACAATAATGCTGTGAGTATTTAAAATGCCTAAAAACGAGATCAGCAACGTTTCGAATCTCATATCGATGCACGCGTCGATTAATTTTATTCAAGCGTTCGATCTACGTACAGCAGCTAGCCAAGCGAGTAGCAAACTGAGCGTTGTTGAGTCGTGTTAAAGCGACGCTTTATTCACGCAATGAGTTTAAAAGCAATTAATTTTTATCAAAAATGCGCTTTTGATTATTATTTTATTTTTTTTTAGACTTTCGGTTTAAAACAACAGATTAGCGGATGATTGGTAGATGTTACAGTATTGAAAATAAGTTAGGAATACATATACTATACTTAGATGCAGGGAATGCAGATATAATTAGCAATTTAATATCGATCATCAAGATACATATGTATCTGGATGATAAAATAATGGCATTTAGTAGCGTACTATTTACTTATTTTCGAAGCTAATGGTGCTAGATATATCATAAGCTTAATTATTGTGTAGTTAAAATAACTAAAGAATATTTACTGTAATGTGGTTTTAGAAAATTACCCATGACGTCGGCTCGTTCATATCCTTTGTTGGGGAAAATTCGGTAATTAGTGGGATTACCATGCGCTCTCGTGAAAGAGGTATCTGTGTAAGTATGAATGTGAGACAGGTAAGAAGGCAGAATACTTCGATAATGCTTCGTTGTAAGTTTTGCATTTGAGACAGGCAGGCACACTCTACTCATTCCACTTTTCTAATCAATGGCTTGAAATGGTTTTTTGTAAAAACCCTAATTTACCCGCGAATGAAGAGGCGCAGAGAAGCTGTCGATAAGTAGCAGTTGAGATTCTGTTACATATAGCTATTTGAATGGGATTAGCCTTCTACATTTCTCATAGACCTTGAGAGGCATTTATGGAAAAATGAAATGGCAAAACCAGCGCCACAAAAAAAATACAAATATGGGATTTTATTTAAGGATTTTCAAGTATATAGGGCATTTCCATGCATGCAATGAGCTACATATGTACATACATATGTATGTATGCATACCCAACCGAAACTACAACGAAAACATGTTCAAAAAGTTGCCAAAAATACATACAGGTAGTCTTAAGAGGAGATGCTTTTAAGCAATTTTGGGTTTATTTTGCGCTCAGCGACTATTACAGCAGACAGTTGTCGAGTAAAGTTGAAGATTGCAGGTTGAAGTTTTTTTTGATACGCTTGGAAATTACACAAATTATAGTAAATAAATAAATAAATAGGATATTCTTTTGCAAGCAATATAAATCTCGCAGTATTGAAAACATTTTTTTTTTTGCTCGCGAGTGTAATTTGTAATGCTAAAGCAAAAATAAATTGATTCTGCTTGAGTGTAAAAATATAATAAAATAAATTGTCGTGTCGTAATCGAAAAAGTTGAAATGTAAGTAATATCAAATAATTATATACAAATTATGAAAAAATACTTTTGGTATCGCTGTATATGGCTTAGAAAACGATTATTATTTTCAATCTAAAATTAGCAATTAATATTAGCTGCGTAAACATCTTTGTGCGGCTTGGCAAAGCATTAGAAGATTCAGTTACATATATACGTAAATATATAGATTAGTTTAGAAATTAAACATTACTTTCATTTCATTTCATTTTGTGGGAAGCAGTACACGACATTTTCATAGCAATTTAAGAAATAGATCAAACCTATTTCATTTCATTTCGTGCTACCCAGAAATGATTCCGAACTTGTCCCAAAATTGTCCTGAAGTGGCTCTGAAAAAGCCATGAACTTGTCCCAAAAGGATCTGGAAACGGTTCGGAAGTGGTCCTTTATTAGTCTCAAAATGACTCAAAACTAGTCGTGAAATGTTTCTCAAATAGTCGTGAACTATCCGGAAATGGTTCTGAACTAGTCCCGAAATTTACCCGTACTAGTCCTCACCTAGTCTCAAATGATTCAGAAATAGTCCCTAAACATTCCTGAAATTATCGTAAAGCCCCGAAACGGCTAAGAAGTGGGGAACTTGTATCGAAATGTTCTCGAATAAGTCTTGAAACGGTATCGAAATATTAATCTAGTCAAAATGATCCCGAACTAGTCTAGCAATAGTCCTGAACTAGTCCCGAAACGGGCCTGAAGTTATTTATTTCTACAGACAAGAAACAATTACAGATTTTCTGCTGGATTACACAAGAAGCAGTTACATATTTTCCGCTGGGTTGTTGCAAATTTTACCCATATCGAGACCTAAGATGTTTCCACATCGAAAATACATATAATTTTTACATAAATCTATCCTCATAAAAATATCGGCTAAAGGCTAAAATGCGAATTTCGTTTACAACATTATTTATATTAGAAATTCATCTTAAAATACTTATTTAAAAATGCAATATGTACATATTTTTTTTATTAATAACTTCTAGCAGAATTTAAAGAAATGTTATTGTTTTCAGATTAAGGATTAGTTTTCTTTTAAAAATTTGTATTAAGGATATTAAANGATATGAAAACAATATCAGATTAAGGATTAGTTTTCTTTTAAAAATTTGTATTAAGGATATTAAAAATGGCAATACTAATAATAATAGAATATTTGAAAAAAATGCACTAAATTCCAAAACCCATAGACATTTGTTTTAAGTTTTTATTTTTGATGCAGCATCTATGTAGATTAATTTCGCTTACGTTTTTTAGCGGTTAGGGCTCGATATAGTACACAATTTTTTATTGACTAATACAAATTTTAATTTGGCTATTCCTTTTTAACGCTTTTCATTGTTTATTGTATTTACATCACTACAGTTGATCTGACATTCACATTGATATTTATTTATTTAAGTACTTACATACACACAAAAATATGCACATATAACGGCTTCTTTCGCAAATATGCAAATATTAAATAAACTAAAATAATAACATTCCCTATTCTAGGCTACCTGTCCTATCACTTGGCGATGTCATCCTTGGATTATCAAAATTTTTCAAAACAATGCATGGATTGTGCTGCTTTTATAAGCTACTACTACTTGCCCTATTTCTATCGAATGCAATTGGTAATTACATATATTAAGTGATGTAACTAAACATTAAATTTTCAATAAGTGCCTTTCTTTAGGTTTTAACTCACCTCAAGTATTTCAATACTACAAGAGCACCAAGTATACCATTTCCAAACCGTGGCGTGGTAAGCCGAATATTTTTGAAAAACTACCTGATCGCATGAATATATTTAAGAAAAATCCCCCTCCGCCAAAACGTGAAGCAAACATTCCGAATGCTTACTTTTACAACGTGGTTAATAATGCCAACACGGCACTCACTGCGCCAAATAATCAATTTTTCCAATTACAACCAAATTCGCATGTTAATAATACTGATGTTTATAATATAATGGACAAGAGAAAAAACGAGAAGGTTACGCCCACAAAGCGGCCAGAGGGTTCATTTTGTCGGCGCAGCTTTGATGGACGCGCCGGTTACTGTATATTGGCTCACCAGTGTCTACATGTGATAAAGGAATATCGAGAGCATGGCACTAAGATTGACTTGTGTACGCATCGACAAAATGTACCGGTCATCTGCTGTCCATTGGCAGAAAAACAATTGGAAACACAAAGCATCAGCGCGAAAAGTGAGTACCTAGGACTTTAATAATGTTCAATGTATTGGAAAGTGTAGATGACTTATATGTAGATCTATTTAACATCTTCTTATAGAATGCCAGCAATATAATGATATTATTGAAGGCGTTAAGTTTGATATTCATCGAACATTTTCTGGGAAAACTTGTGTGCCCAGTTTACCCTTGATTGTTGGCGGACAGGTCACGAATGAAGGCGAATATCCACATATGGTAAGTAACTGTAGATGAGTGTTTCGTTGTACTTCAAACTATACATATGTATGTACGTATGTACTTCCATAGGCCGCATTGGGTTGGACTAAGATAGATGAGGAGATACGTTGGGGTTGCGGCGGCACATTGATAAGTGAACGGTATGTTCTCACAGCAGCTCATTGCTCTACAGCCAGCGAGTAAGAAGTTACATATATTTTACAACAACAATTCAAATAAATAACAATAACGATTTTCATTTTATTGCAGGAATCCGCCCGATATCGTTCGTCTAGGTGTGCCAAATCTGTTTCTAATCTCAACTGAAGCTCAGGACATACGCATTGCCAAAATTATATTGCATCCGAAATATCGATCGTTTGCTTATTATCACGATATTGCATTAATGAAATTAGCACAACGAGCGAAAATAACTCCGAAAGTGCGTCCTGCATGTCTTTGGCAATTGCCAGATTTGGATATATCTACTTTGGTAGCCACCGGTTGGGGCCGCACTAAGTTTCGTGGTTCACGATCTGATGAGCTACTCAAAGTCGATTTGAATATGATTAATCAGAATTTATGTAAAAAGCTATACAAGAAAGAACGCCGTCTGTCAAATGGTATTTTGGATGAGCAGTTCTGTGCCGGTCATATGACTGGTGGAAAAGACACGTGTCAGGGTGACTCTGGAGGTCCATTGCATGCTGAACTACCCGAATTAAAATGTGTTAAATTCGTGGTTGGCATTACATCGTTTGGAAAATTTTGCGCGAAATCCAATGCGCCAGGAGTTTATACCAAAATTTATCCATACTTGGATTGGATTGAGGGCATTGCATTTAAGGACGAGTGAAATAGTAATTTAGGGGCATATCATGGCTCTGTCAATAAATTAAATCGAAATGAGATAAACCCCCCTATTCTAACAAAGTCACAAAATTAGCGCATTACTATTGTGATTATTACTGTGCCTGAAAATATGCCATAAAACACAGATTTTAAGTGCTAAGAAATGCACACAAATTTGAACATTTTTTTTGCCTCGGCATATTTGTATGCTACTGCATACTTTGAAGCGCGGTAGAAATCACAATAGTGATTCGCTGAGTTTTGTGACTTTGTTCGTATAGGGGTGAATTTATGATAAATCAAGAACAAAAAGAATTTTTTTTTTTGAAAATATGCCTAAAGTTATGCAACAATTTGTTTTTCGAAATCAAGTACTAACTACATACTCGTACGTACACGTGCTAATCACATATATGTATATAGAAATTATGAAAGAAAATGTAAACTTACCTGGTGAAGTAATTTGATAGAAAAAAAAGTAATTTATGCTGTAATGCGAATAGATATAGTTTAAGAATATGTAATTTATACTAGAGCTCTAGATACCCGGGTATCGAGCAATGCGAGTAGCTCGATACTCGCTCGAAACTCGTTCATTGCTCAACTGCTCATGATGCAATAATGAAAGGTGTTATACGTTGGCAACTTCTCGCTCTAATCCGCCATCTTGAACTAGCTTAGGAGAAACTGTGTTGTTTCTTTGCTATTTTCACTGAACATTTCCCAAAATATTAGAAAAAAATTCTGAACAAGCTACATTGATTCAATTTTCGTTGTTCGTTTTGTTCTTATTCGCTGACATTTGTTTTCCAATTGCGTGAAATTTGGTAAGTATTGTAATAAAACCGAATGATTTTACAAACAAATTATAATTTTGCATTTATTAGGTCATTTCCTTAGTGTTTCGCTGACCGACCTGTGCTGGTATTGTGATTAAGAGCTAATACACGTAAGTTACAACATATTATTTTGACTTTATTGATGAACCATTCCATTTGAGCTCTTTGTTATTTCAAAACCTAATGAACCATTTATTCGCAGATTTTTCGGACGATTCTGCTGTGCTGCGTTCCTGCTCCGCCTGTATATTGCTCCGCCCGTATTTTATAGTGTTGCGTTCCTGTTGCGCCTTTGCATTAGTGTGTGCGTTGTGATTTAGACACGTTGAAGTAAGTTGAAACCAGGTTCTCGTTTGTTAAAAACCTAAAAAACCATTTATTTGCAGATTTTTTGTATGCTTCTGCTGTGCTGCGTTCCTGCTCCACCCGTGTATTAGATTGCTGCGTTCCTGTTAACATACATATCGTCGCTTAAAGTACAAAACCGCGTAANCAGATTTTACGGTTAGAAAACGTCTTAAAATGTAGACGTCTACATTTTCAGACACTATTTGGAACGAACTGTGAACACCCCATTTATTTCGATATGGGAAAAGCCAGAAAAACCTTTCTGTTACATTTCGGAAATCAGTTTCAAAAATAAAAGTTGCACGATATGACTGCAGTTGAGAGAGTGCGAATCGATTTCGAAAATATATTTCAACTTGCTCGTGCTGCATTATCTTAATTAGTAATTAAAACATCATTATGACCATTTTCAACGGTTATGTATTTTATTTGCTAGATGTTACTCAGTTTGGCACCTCCAAATATTTGCATGAACGAACAGGCATGAAATATATGTGCAAAACTGCAAATATTCAACAGTTGGCAGCATTGCGCAAGATAGTGGATTTGCGTTCCACATTTGTCGTTCAATAGTGATGTGCTGAGTCGATACTATGCAGTATTGATCGACACTCGGTACCGATTTAAAAAGTATCCAATTCTTTCGATACACGGTACCGAAACGTTTAGGCTTCCAATTAGAACGCATGTGTAGGGGCTAATAGAGGTTTTAATTTCCATTTTCCATCGCCACAATGCAGATAAACTCTTCCTTATAGAAATCATTTTTTTCTAAATGAATCGGACAATGTTATCTCTGTAGGCCTGAAAGACTTCGTTCATCCGTAAAAGCATTTTTCTAAAATTTTAGATCTACGATGGTGGAAACTGATAAAACGGAATTTTACTGTTGCGACAATATCAAGAAGGCGATGAGAGTGTTTGATATGTGGTTTCCACATTGCTTAGTACAAATTGTTCAACTTTTGGGAAAGCATCGTCTTACACGTACTAATTAGTACGTAAAATTAGTGAGACATATTCATAGTCGAAATAAAGTCGATGCAACTTTTTTTGATAGATATTTTGTTATAAATTATGTCAAAAAGCTGAAATTGTGTGTAGAATCGGTATTGGGCATCGAAAGGAAGTATTGGGTGCCGAAATATTTCTGAAGTATTGGGTACTGAGTATTGGGTACCGTCAACTCAGCACATCACTATCGTTCAGCAGCCGGTTTTGTTGAGTGCGCGATCTACCGCTTTCGTATTTGTAAAAAATTATATACAAATTTAATTTGATTGTTTAGTAGACCTTCACACCAAAGAAAAATATATAAACTTTCCATTTGATTGACGCGAATATTGAAACTTGGCAATCTTTACTGGAGGGCGCATTAAAAAAAATTTCCTTTCTACAAAAATCTATTGAAATAATTGATTTTGAGTATATCCAGCCACTATTCGATGAAAAACGTGAATGGTAAGCGCCGAAGAGGCATACAATTGTTCAAAAATAGTGCATAAACGTCTACATACATCGCATTCGACAACTTATCAGGGAAGCCACTTCGAATTTCATCACAATCCACACCTGCAGCATACAAAGAAGCTGAAGGAGGATTTGCTAAAGCAGAGTCTGCAAAATTTCCAAGGTCAAGCTTCAAATTTCCAAGATGATTCAAAATCACTGCGAAAATAGTTGCAATAGCAACGCAGTGTCAAGTCCCATAAAAAATCCGGTCCCATCTGATACGGACGTACAACATGACAGGTGTATTTGCAGACAAAATATTGATGAGTTTAAAATTTAACAGCCTCTTTTTTTCCAGAAATAAGGAGCAATATAAGCTTAATAAAGATAATACAAACGTTACATTTCGACAGTATTCTGAATCGGAGCTTCNGCGCAGTGTCAAGTCCCATAAAAAATCCGGTCACATCTGATACGGACGTACAACATGACAGGTGTATTTGCAGACAAAATATTGACGAGTTTAAAATTTAACAGCCTCTTTTTTTTTCCAGGAATAAGGAGCAATATAAGCTTACTAAAGATAATACAAACGTTACATTTCGACAGTATTCTGAATCGGAGCTTCTTCAGGGCTTCCTAGGGCAAAATGTGGAACAATTCATGAGCAATTTGGCCACGGATAAATTTGATAACTTTGTTTCTGATGCGAATTCTGGATACGAGCAACTTGATGAATTGGAAAATGGGAGGCCATTGCCGTTAACTCCCGAAAATTATCCCAACAGCGTTATTACCAAGTAACTACCCCTTGACCTCTAATGGCCAGTTTTTCAGTGCACGGCCGAGGTTTAAACTCGGTTTAAACGCCCGATCTGGCTGGTTTAAACTAAGATTAGCCAATCAGATATCAGTCAGCTCTTCGATTTAAACTCGGTTTACTTAATCTAAGTTTAAACTGGCACTGAAAAACTGNACTTGATGAATTGGAAAATGGGAGGCCATTGCCGTTAACTCCGGAAAATTATCCCAACAGCGTTATTACCAAGTAACTACCCCTTGATCTCTAATGGCCAGTTTTTCAGTGCACGGCAGAGGTTTAAAGTCGGTTTAAACGCCCGATCTGGCTGGTTTAAACTAAGATTAGCCAATCAGATATCAGTCAGCTCTTCGATTTAAACTCAGTTTACTTAATCTAAGTTTAAACTGGCACTGAAAAACTGGCCCTAAATTGACCAATTGTTATTGTTTTTTCCTACATATATATATAGTATGTTCCAATAGCATTACGGTTTACAGGATTTAGTCAGAACTTGCAGGAAGTCGTTCCCATAGACATACACTCGGGAAGGGGGAACACTTTTTAGAGATTAACTGCGCGACTGTTCCTTGTCAGAAGTTACAGGATTTAATCCGGAGTTTTTTCCTGTAAGTTCNCCTAAATTGACCAATTGTTATTGTTTTTTCCTACATATATGTATAGTATGTTCCAATAGCATTACGGTTTACAGGATTTAGTCAGAACTTGCAGGAAGTCGTTCCCATAGACATACACTCGGGAAGGGGGAACACTTTTTAGAGATTAACTGCGCGACTGTTCCTTGTCAGAAGTTACAGGATTTAATCCGGAGTTTTTTCCTGTAAGTTCATGAAATGTGTCAAACGATGGGCAGGGTTGCATTTGCAAACAAAAACAACGCGGTGAAGCAAAGAACTTTGTATTTGTTAGAAAATGGAAGTAAACGAAATATTTGAATATGTAACAGACAAATACATAGTATGTACGTACGTATGTATGTAGTCTGTTCCTTTGAGCTTCGGATTAAAACCTGTGCAACTGTCAAACTACAAATTTACTCTTCCAAGTGAGTTAAAAAGATAACAGATGCAGAAGTGTACGAGAACGCAAAAGGCACTATTTCCTGGACTGATTTGGGAGAAATATCACTAAATAATTATTTAAATCTATACATATTCAAATAAATCGTTGTTTACTTCCATTTTTTTAACAAATACCAGGTTCTTTTCTTTTACCGCGTTCTGTTTTTGTTTACAAATGCAACCATGCCCATCGTTTGACACTTTTCAAGGACTTTCAGGATTCGAAACTCCAGACTCCTGCAACTTCTGACTAGGAACAGTTGCTCAGTTACTCTCTTAAAAGTGTTCCCACTTACCGCTTTTATGTCTATAGGATCGACTAGGAAGTTATCACTAAATCCCGTAAACCGTCTTGAGGGATTTCCGCGCATGTTCAAGTTAATTCAGCATAGTGGCAGCACTATTTTGCGCTACCTTTGTTCGCTACGTCGTGGAAAACAGCTGTTTTGTGGAATTTAACTTTTATGTAATGCTGCCATATTGGGTAAATGTTTTTGTGTTGGAGTGCACTTCATAATTTTATGATTTTTCATAGTTTCCAAGTTTTTAAATGTTTAATTTTATAAAGGTAAAGCGCTTAAATGCAATGAGCTATAAATAAGCCCAAAACTGTGTCTTCATTACAATAGAATTCCTATAACAAAATGCGTTGAGAAACTTTTTTTAGCGATAAAGTGGCAACACTTGTATTGCGCATCTTTTGTGTCCTTTGCATTTCTTGTGTGTTTTATATTTTATCTAGATGCGTTCTTTTATCTGTTCATCCGACAATCGTTTAACTTTTATGGAATTTTAGGGAATATAAGCATAATTTGGTATTGAAAAGTTGATATTTTTCCCATAATGTCGTGGCATAAAATAAGGTAATTTTTTGTGTGTAAATTTTGCCAAGTGTTTCTTGGATTGGTAGATTACTTGAAGGTATAATCAACCCAACCTTGCAACTGCTGCTCTACATAGTACCTACATTTTGTTTAACTTTTATAAGTGACGGACTTGCAAATTATTGGCAGGTACACAACTTTATATGTAAATAAGTACAATAGCAGAATTCACGCGGATATATGTATTTACATTAAATTGCGAATAAATTCTATATACATATGTATGTAATAAATTTTGTATCTAGCGAATATTCGTGCAGCTCAAATCAAACCAACAAGGACATAACCATAATCGACATGGCTCACAATTCGGATGCATCTAACCCTCATGAGGAGATTTGCAAGGAGGAAGAGGATATTATGTAAGTGTGAATGTGCGCATGTCGACCTTGAACATTATCTTACTTTTGTTATATTTTGCAGACCAAGTGATGAACCGTATTCATACCTGCAAGGGCTTAATGTAAGTTGACTAAGGGCCGGTTCTTCAATGTCTGATTAGCACAAATCGGAGGTAGAAGCTCTGGTTATGCACAACTACTGATTTATTGATCACATGTTACATGCATGATGTCGAAATCGTCGATAGTGTAGCGGTAGTGATAACCAGACATTGAACAACCGGCCCCAAATGATTACAATCGCTTAACTAGTTGTATGCTGATAACCTTTTTTTTTGTTACTTTATAGTCGGATAACCTCATGCAGTTCAGTCAGGTAAGCAAACAAAATATTTCACGCAATGTTTACACATACATATGTATGTAGTATATCTATTGCTTTTTACTTCAATGAAAAGCGCAACGTAAGATCGCTTTGTACGAATATGAGTAGAAAGCCCGTTACCGCCGATAAAACCTGTGATGTAATAGTTTTTATTAATTACTATTTCAAATGCTTTCACGTACTTTCATATAAACTTACATCTTGGAAAAGAGAAATATTTATTTCTAAGAGGCCGAGGGGCTGAATTTTATATTTGATTACAAGAACAAGCAAAGAAAATTCTTCTACCGATTGCTTGAATCGGACGTCTGCGTGTGTAAGGCTAATGCGTTGAAGAATCAACCCTGTCTCTTGCACCTGAAATTGAAAATATGTAACTTGTATTTGGTCTTTATAAGCTGTAACATACCTTCAGCCGATTTTCATCGCAGATCTGTGCTTGCAATAACACCTCGACCACCGATATCACCAGAAAAACTGCATTTGTTAAAGCATTGAAAACGTTATAAGGCTCATTGTTAACCAATGTATCGGCAATTGCTAAATACTGCGTAAAGCAACTAGCTGTGATGCCACATAAATTGCACATCAAAGAGCAAATTAGTGGAACAGAATGTAACTGCAAATGTATTGTTGTCTGCTCACAAATAATTTTGTATTTTTGTGCAAGTAAATCCAAACGGTCAGCTAGTTCACAGAAACGTTGCATGCGATAGAATGGCTTGTGTAAACTCATCTGCAAGGCGGTCTGCAAGCAATTGACTTCATTGACAACTTCGCCTAAATGTTCATTTAATGTTGTCACAAGCAATTTGCTAATTACCAAAGTCCCAAAAAAGATGTTGGGAAACATTTGTGACACTATCATTGGCAGGAGAGTATATAAAGTCCACATAAGATTCTTGTCAGGTTCATTATACATTTGTTGCAATATCAAAGTCACTTCTTGCATAATGGGAATTAATAAACTTTTAAGAAATACTAGTCTATTGGAACTCACTACCATCCTTGCACGCACATCAAAGAAGTGCATAGTCTCAAACAATGCGACGCCATTCAGAGATTGCGCCCAAATCCTTGTTAGACAGAGGGCGGTTAAGTAGCTTATAATGCTCGCTAAAATATTCATATAACTATACAATTTAACTGCATTTTTCAAATCGAACTGGCCTGTTCGTAAGTCGTTAATGACATCGTGACCATAAGATATTGTAAACACCAGTGTTATGACCAGCGAATATACTGTCATTATGTACGAAGTGTAAAAACGGCGTTGGCGCAGGGATAGTGTATTTGGCGACAAACCTAACAACATCAAAGTAACAGTAAAGAAACCGATGAAAAATTTTAAACTTTTGTAATCCTCCATAATTAAAGCGCACGGTTTTTTTAACAAACTTAATTCGAATTTTGATAGTTTTGATACGACTTTTTGAATTCCTCCTGTGAAATCCTTCTGTGTAACCTTTTCTATGCGCCGCTCTATTTGTTTGTTATTGCTTAATGCGCGTTAATTACATTTTAATTGTGCGTTACTATCTGCCAGTATCAGTCAAGCGGCTTGCGAGGCGCGGGCTAATTTTGGTGTTTATTTATTAGATATTTAGGAATTAGTTTTCGTGTGCAGCAGAAGTAATAAAGTGATGGGAATAACCTAACCATATTTTTCGGCAATTTTTGTCCGGTAATGTATTATTTACGTAGCGGTTCGTACGCTACGACTTTAGTAATCTTCTTCCATTTATTTCAACTTTTTGCTTTATTAAATGTAATTACTGTTAAACGCGTCCAAAATTCAACATTAGACAAATTCTCAAAAAATTTTAAGATAAAATTATAATAAAATATAAATTAAAATATCAAATATATGGATATGTACATTCAAAATATAAATTAAAAGAAGTGAATAAAAACTTATCACAAACACAAAGTTTGTAGAGTTACAAAAGCAGGGTCCGAAAACAATAGTTATTTTCGAAATTTGATTTCAAGAAGTCAGTCGGATAGAATTTGTCTTTTCAACAATGTGATGATTGTTAGCCAAGGAATGTTAATCCTATATGATATAATTTTTTTTTTACTTTTTTCAAAAAAGTCAGCAATTAACCGTTTTTACTCATATTTTTTCAATTAAAATAGTAGTCAAATTTTAACTTTTCCAGTTAAAAATAAAATTTAAAATTTGACTTACATTTTTTCAGCAAAAAATAAAAGTTAAAATTTTACTTATTTTTTTTCATCAAATATAAATGTTAAAATCTGACTTTTATTTTTTTCATTCAAAAATAGCAGTTTACATAGTCACAATATAATATGTTTTAAATGTAAAAATACACATATCTTTAATTACTAACTTATATATATGACTGAAAAAATAAAAGTAAAATTTTAACTTTTATATTTGACTGAAAAAATAGAAGTCAAATTTTAACTTTTAATTTTGAGTGAAAATTTATCGGTGAAAATATAACTATTATTTACTGACTTGAAAAAAAGCATATGCATTAGTGTTTACGATTAATCGATTATACAATTAATTCCAGCAACTAACACGTTAGTTTACAGATAGAGTTCTTACTGGGTTGTAACTCAAGTTAACTTACCGCATTTGTTTTGTATATAAAATGTATGTACATATATGTACATATGTGTTTCACCAGAAGTCACAAGTACTTTCATAAGTTTGCATGCATTCATCTGGTTCCTTCTGTTATACATATCGGACGCGTTACTAAAGTTTCGCTCTTACTCATACAGCTGCACAACACTCAAACACAAACAAACGAACAAGCGGCGTAGTAAAGGAACCAATACAATAACAACGAAGAGTAAGCGAATGAAATTGTTTACAAACAACACGAAATTATGAATGAAAACAAAAAATGCTTAGTCAGATTTTATTGTTGGCTTTCGTGGTCGCTCTACGGTGAGTTGGTGAGTCAGTAAGCCAGTTAGTCGTTAATTTGCTTGCAGCCAAACAGGAGTAACAAAATGAAGCTCTTACATTTATGTCGCCGTTATGAGGGCTATGTAAATAAGCAAATGATTTTATTTTAAGCAAATAACAATTTAAATTGTTTATATTTAACACAATACATAAAATAAATATTCTCTCTTTTTCACACAGCAATCGGCCATACAGGAGCTATTAATGAAGGAACAATTGGATGTTAAACCGGTGAGTGTATTTGTTTAATATATATTCGTAATGTGCATTCCAATGTAAGTGAACACCTTTTTTTTCTCCTTAGAATTTAGATGTATTGCCTACATTCGAGGAGCATGACACCGGCGGTTACAAGTTTGACTTACAAGTCTGCAGTAGAGGTAAAGCTCAAAAGGGTTGGATGTTTTCGTCTACTCGCAAGAAGCTCTATATACGCATGAATGATATTTTTACGGTGGATGTAATATACGTGCCGAAGCTGCCTTTGCAACAGTTACGTGTACGCGTGCTGATGAGTTTCAAGAACGAGGTGAGCGAGCCTGTTTTGCGTTGCCAAAATCACCTAAGCAAAGATACTGGTAAGTGGTTTTCCCCTTCACTTCTGTTATATTCTGCTGCTGTTAATGGGGATGTTTACAGCAAGAACTTACATTTTGTTTTCAACCACCTTATAGAATCTCACCCGAAGCGGCGTCAGAGTTTGCTACGCTGTGAGAATCCTTCCGCTGAATACTGTGGCACACCTGATGGTAAAAGCATTCATGATCGCTACTCGGTTTTAATTCCATTGGGTGCGTCTGTCATAAAGAATGATAATACCATAAGGCAAACGATCGCCATCAAGTTTACTTGCCAGAATTCGTGCATTGGGCGCAAGGAGACAAGCTTAATATTTCTGCTGGAGGGCATGAGGTGAGTGACGGTGAGGGGGCTATCTATCAGCTGATAGATGACGCACGTTTCTAATGACAATGCAATGTGTAGTGTATAAGTGAACATGTTGCTACATGCAACCTTGCGCTAGCTATCATTATTGTGAAAGTCTTATATAGCAATTGTGCTTATAAAAAACGTATTATGCATTTCATTTGTTCTATTTACGTTTAGTGGTGAAATACTTTCACAGCGTGTAATGGATGTGAAAATCTGCTGCTGCCCCAAACGAGACCACAAGGCAGACGAGCGCAATAGAATAGTGGCTGCATCAAAGCGGAAATCAAATGAAGGTAAGCCCTAGTCAACTTTTTCTATTATTTATTTCTTTTAAGTAAGCCTTTGTGTTACTGCCACAGATATGTCCGCTCGCGCTCCAAAATTAAAGAAAAAGAAGAATAACACGCAAGCCTTTGCCAAAGATGAAGATACTAGTAGTGATTTAGAAGACAGTGATAGTGGCTTTAGTACAGCACAAGATGTGGATTTGCAGGCAACATCTAGCGGCAACTATCGCATTGTCATTGAGTTGGATAAAGAATTGATGCAAAAGGCGTTGGAATGTTTCAATCAGGCGATAGCTCTACGCATGTTTGAAGAACCGCAACAAGCGAAGCACTACAATAAAATGTGTCGAAAGCTAATGCGGGTTCGAGGTAAGACAAATTTGACTCCATTTAAATTAACAATTTTTTATGAGTGTATTCTTTTTCATTACAGATAAGCTGAAGAAGGTGTAATTTTATAAATTTATAAGTCATATCAGTTAAATAGGTCGCCTTAATTATCTATAAGTAAAATAGGTTTAAATTACTCGATAGCATTAGTTTTATATCGAGTAGCGTACAGAATCGGGCATATGATTTGCAACCAAATTCAAAATGATATTGTTTACCATTTAATTTTTAAGAATTTTCAATTAAAATAGGGTAGAAAAAATAGTTTCATCAAAATTTCCAACTTTCTTCTCAGAAGTGTTAAATTTTTTTGAGTACTCAGTTTTGTAGCCTCCCTGCAAACCAAAGTTCCCGAAATCTTAAGGAAATCGTTGGGAGTATCTCATTTCTGTAACGATTTTTTTACGAATTTTCAAAGAAAATTATATGAAGTGGTTGACACGAACTCGTAAAGAAATTTCAGTACGAAAAATAAAGAAAATTCCGGAAAAATTCTGAAAGATATTCTTCACATAGCACCATTATTTTCGTTGCTTAACAGATTTTCTTCCGAAATTTCGTAAAAGAATGGAAGTGTGCGTAATTTATTTCATTTTAGAAAATTCGGCAAAAAATCGAATTAAATCTTAACGAATTCTTTAAATTTCTTTACAATGCAGAATACTCTGAAAAAATGGTTTGCAGGGCTATTAAATTTGAGTAAACTAATGTGTGAGATTCAGGTGTCGTAAGAATTACGTGAACATTTTTTTGTTTTTGTTTTTTTTTTTAGTTTTCTACATAATTTTATATGAGTTTTGTTAAAGAATGAACTGTGACTAAGAATTACGTGAAAATTTTGGGCTTGTTTTTAGTTTTCTACATAGTTTTATATGAGTTTTGTTAGAGAATGAACTGTATTTTAAGTGAAAATTCTTAAAATTAAATAAATAAACATAAGTGGCAAACAATATTATTTTGAATTTGGTTGCAAATGATATGTCCGATACTTTTGGGGTTAGGTTTAAGTTTTGTACTATATACGGCTAAGATATTGTATGCATTTATTTCCCAGTGAAATATTTGTCACTACTCAAATTCGGTCATTTGAAGTTTTGTTTTTATGATTATTCTCAGTCTTTCAGAAATATTTGCATTCCATAAAGGAGCGAAAATTTCTGTTTAAGAAGCCTGTTCTGTGTGTAAATTTTTCGTTCTAACTATGTATGCAGTAGATATGTAATAAGTGCCTGTGCATTAAATTTATTTGTTAAAACTTTGTCTTCCGTCTAATTATTCATGTAAATGACAAGTTTTCAAATTAAAAAAAAAAATCAGAATAATAAAAAGCGTGATCTTTGGATGATCGAATAAGACGTTATTTTGCCTCTAATTTTTTACTTTAAATATACATATTTAAGAACGGCCGCTGTGCAGTGCGCGCTACCATTCAGTTTTTCTTTAATAGCGGTTGCCCCTCGGCAGGCAATGGCAAACCTCCAAGTGTATTCCTTCTATGAAAAACAGTTCATCATAAAAATACAATCGCCGTTCGGAGTCAGGGGGGTAAAACTGTAGATCCTTCCTCTTTGTGTGACAACATCAAGGCAACAAATCGGAGGAGAAGATCGGCCAAACACTAACATATTGTGTAAGCGCCAATCTATTACTATTATTATATATTTTTTTTTTTCGTAGGAGAGGGAAATGCTTTATGCACTGGCCGGAGGCGCTAGTCCCTATACTACCTTTCCCGAGTGTGGGACTCCCACCGAAGCGTGTTGGGCTACCCACTAAAACCCAAATTCCCACAATTTTGTATGCCTTCAGATGAAGGAGCGCGCTGCTAGAGCCTCGGGGCTGCTCTTTTTGTAGGGACGTTTCCTTCGGGTGTCCTCAGTAGACATNTAAGAATTCCGCATCTGGCACCGCAATTCTGTATGCCTTCAGATGCAGGAGCGCGCTGCTAGAGCCTCCGGGCTGCTCTTTTTGTAGGGACGTTTCCTTCGGGTGTCCTCAGTAGACATCCGTCCTCTCGTTTGCAGCGTAGTACGAATTTCACGTATCTCGCAACTGCTTTTCCCACTTGCCTGCACTGGAGATCATTACCCCAATTATGTTGTTCGGAAATATGTCTCCGTATCTTTCTTCCAACATTCTGCACGAAATCAAGAAGTGTTCGCAGGTGAAGAATGTATGGTGCACATTATCTTCGTAGTGACAGAACGGTGAGTCCACCCTTCCCATTCTATGAAGATATTCTCGGAAGTAACCATGACCGGTGAGGAATTGCGTCAGGTAGAAATCGACTTCTCCATGTGGTCTGTTCAACCATGTTTGAAGGTCAGCTATCAGGGTGTGCGTCCATCGACCTTTTGTGCTCGCCTTCCAGTTTTGTTACCACTGCTGGATTAGTTGCTCGACCTATCTCTCTGAAAAAAGGAAGAAGGTTATCAGTTCATTGGAATATTTGTGTATGCATGTTACCTGTAATTTTGGGGGTGGTAATTCAGAGGTGGTCCCATAATAATTTGGTTTAGATCCGATTATTGGATCATGAAGAATTTAACGGTACTCCAAAATTTTCATATAGGCTTTTAAGTCGGTTGTGCTTTTAACTTAAAAATTTCTTGTTATAAATAGCATTTAACAAATGATTTTTGACGAAATTTCTTTATTCTTTTAAGTTGCAATTATTAGTAATCTCATAACTACCTAATATATGTAACTATTAATCGTGAATGCAACATTTGCAAAAAAAAAAATTTAAGTTATTTTGTGAGTTTTAAGTTTTGCTTACTAAATAAAACTTATGTTTTAAGTTTTTGTTTCCTCAGAAAGCAAAAGTACATTCTTCTGATGCGTTTTTTAGGAAGCGGTAGAGAGCAAAAATATCGTCAAATAAATATCGTAAAAATAATTATGTGGCACTCTTTAACAAGGATGCGAAGACGAATATGAAAGAAAGCGAACATGCATACGAAGGCCATCACGAATACGAAACGAACATGAAGACAAATACCGGGTCGAATAAGAAGAATACGAGGAAACCGAATATGAACACAAAGACGAATATGACGACGAAGATGTATTCGAATACGAATACGAAGACGAAGACCAAATTGCCTTCACCATAACCATTACCAATAAAACTACCTTTACCAATATCATTGCAATTCCCACCATTATTTTTATATTTATCCTTTATCCTTAAAGAAGTAAAATAAGTTCAACGTTTTTTTTAGATAAAAAGTGAAATAAATAAAAATTAGGGAAAAAATTTACGTTTGGTCATATTTAAACATTTTTTTAATACTTTATTGCATTTTTTTCTGACTTTCTTCGGTTTAGAGTAGCGCTTTTGCTGCCGTAGCCGGGTGCTTAGATGTGCCTACTGCCGCTCGGAAAGTCCCATGTCTCCAATTTCTGGTTCTAGCAGCATCAAAAAAGTTTTTTTTTTCAAACAGCGGTCGCCCCTCTGAAGGCAATGGCAAACCTTCGTGTGTAGTTATCTCCATTTGTGTCACAACATCGAGAAGCAGAACACGAATTGGAGCAGAAGCTCGGCCAATTACGTAGAAAACGTTTAAGCGCATCCTGGTATGGATGCTCTTAATCTCCAAATAGCCTAGGACCTAATTTTGAAACTTTTTAGGGGTTTCTCTTAATCTGGAAAAAGCCTTGAAAACTAAGAAAAACTCAATACTTTTACTGAGTGGTCAAGATTTGTATGAAATGAAAAAAACACCGGTTTGTGCGATAAAATCCGGCTTATTTGAAATTCGAAAAATTTAAATTTCAAAAAACCAACCACAAGCTTAGTCAGGGATCTGACTATTGCCCCTGGTAGTACATTGTTAAAAGCGTCCTCGATATCAAGAAAGGCTCTTGCACTTAAAATAAAAGGATAATATTTTACATGCTTGTAAATGACCTGATAAAACAGCTCTTTTGACTTTTCTAAAGGATTTAAGAAAAATAAAAATTTCGAACCGCACTAATGCTCCATGCTGCACCTCTTAGAATTATAGTAGAGAGGGGAGATTCATGGAGGACCATTACTACACGAATTACTAAAATTTGAATCTTGTTCCGGTTCGCACTGCAGGATTTTTATTTTTTTCTTACGAGGTCTATTGTATATATCGACACTTGAGTGGAAGATCGACCTATCTCGGCAGCCAGTTCGAAAACGTCCTATCTCAGAAAACTTTTCAAGAACGCCCTATTTCAGAATTTTATTGATAAAGTACATATCTCAGAACTTATTTGAAGAACGCCCTATCACAGAGTTCCGTTCAAAAATGCCTTATCTCAAATGAAAATTTAATCAAAATGTGCTGAGATAAGCGTTTACTTTTAAACAATTGCACATATGTTCGCTTAGGAGAAGCCATTGAACTTTTAGGGCATTCGCAAACCTCTATCTGCTGGATTATATCTATGAGTTGTGATTTTAGATTTTATTATCGTCACGGCTATGCTCATTATTTGTGTATTTATGTGTACATTAGGGTGGTCATAAAAAAAATCCAATGAAGGATTTTTTTAGGTTTCACCCCCTTAATAATTAATGCCACTGTCACAGATGCCACATTTAAAGTTTGGTCTCAATATGAGACGGTTAAGACGTGTCACACAGGGGGCAAAGTACAGATTCCTCTATAAAGGCTAAAAAAAATAAAATAATTTTTTTTTTCATTAGTCGCAGGTGTCACATATAAATTTTGGTCCCGATTGGAGTCGTTTAAGGTGTGTCGCAAAGGGGTCATTTGAACTTCGCCCCTTGTGCGACACCCCTAACCGACATTAATCCGGACCAAAATTTATACGTGATATATTTGACTATAGTGGCATCAATTTTCGGTTTTAGACCGAAAAAAAAATTAATTTTAATTTTTTGAGTCTCCATAGAGGAATCTGAACTTTGCCCCTTGTGCGACACCCCTAACCGACATCAATCCGGACCAAAATTTATACGTGACATATTTGACTATAGTGGCATCGATTTAGGGGTGGAGGCTTAGGAAATCCTACATTTAAGGACCACCCCAATGTACATACATAAATTTGTACACACATGTGTACTGTATGTAGCTGGTACGAAACCACAAGAATGTCATCCACAGCATCAGACTCGTACAATTTGTTTGTTGCAAATATCTTTTTCATGTTAATTTCATGCTGCGCATGCGTAATGTTGCACGCGTTGCACCATGTGCAGACAATGCCAAATGCGGGAGCACATGTGTGTTTCACTGTTTCTTCTTTGTTTTTGTTTTTTTTTGTTTTTTTTGAATGCACATAGAACACAAATAACAATTATATATTGCAATTTTAGCGCGCAACAGATG